TTTCTTCTATTAGACGCAGGGTCTCTGGTTTTATCCTAGGTCCTTGATCCATTTTGAGTTTTGTGCATGGTGAGAGATAGGGGTTTAATTTCATTTTGTTGCATATGGATTTCCAGTTTCCCCAGCACCATTTGTTGAAGAGGCTATCTTTTCTCCAATACATGTTTTTGGCACCTTTGCCTAATATAAGATAATTGTAATTTTGTGGGTTAGTCTCTGTGTCCTCTATTCTGTACCATTGGTGTGCCAGTCTGTTTTGGTGCCAATACCATGCTGTTTTTGTTACTATTGCTCTATAGTATAGTTTATGGTCTGGTATAGTGATGCTACCCTGCTTCACTCTTCCTGCTAAGGATTGTTTTAGCTATTCTGGGTTTCTAATTTTTCCAGATGAATTTTATAACTACTTTTTCTATTTCTATGAGAACTGCCATTGGGATTTTGATCAGAATTGCATTAAACCTCTACAGTGTTTTTGGTAGTATGGTCTATTTGATAATATTAATTCTGCCTATCCAAGAGCAAGGCAGATCTTTCCATTTTCTAAGGTCTTCTTTAATTTCATTCTTTAGAGTTCTGTAGTTTTCATTGTATAGATCTTTCACCTCTTTAGTTGATTCTCAAGTTTTTTTTTTTTTTTTGAGGCTATTATAAATGGGGTAGTTTAGCTCATTTCTCTTTCTAAGGATTTGTCACTGATATACAGAAAGAAATGCCTTTGATTTATGGGTGGTGGTTTTATATCCTGCTACTTTGCTAAATTCATTTACTAGTTCTATAAGTTTGCTGATAGAATTTTTTGAGTCTTCTAGGTATAGAATCATATCATCAGCAAACAGTGCTAATTTGAGTTCTTCTTTTCCTAAATGTATCCCTTGAATTTCTTTCATCTATCTAATTGCTCTGGCCAGTGTTTCAAGAACTATGTTGAAGAGAACTGGTGAAAGAGGGCATCTGTGTCTTCTTCCAGTTTTTAGAGGGAATGCCTTCAATTTTTCTCCATTACAATGATGTTGGCCTGAGGCTTAGCATAGATAGCCTTTATGATGTTGAGATATATTCCTGTTATCCCTAATTTTTCCAGTGTTTTGGACATTTAGAGGTGCTGTATTATGTGAAATGCTTTTTCTGCATCTACTGAGATATCATATGTATTTTATCTTTAAGTCTTTCAATGTGATGAATTACATTTATTGATTTCCATATGTTGAATTACCCCTTTATCTCTGGGATGAATCCCACTTGATTGTGGTGCACTATATTTTTGATACATTTTTATATTCAATTTGCCAGAATTTTATTGACAATTTTTGCATCTATGTTCATTAGAGATATTGGTCTGAAGTTTTCTTTTTTTGACGTGTCTTTGCTTGGTTTTGGAATCAGGGTGATGTTGGCCTCATAGAATGAGTTTGGAAGTGCTGCCTCTTTTTCTATTTCCTGAAATAAATTGAAGAATATTGGTATTAGTTCTTCTTTAAAGGTCTTGTAGAACTTGGCTGTGTATCCATCTGGTCCTGGGCTTTTCTTGGGTGGTAGGCTTCTGATGGTGTCTTCTATTTCA